AATTATTATTAAGTATATAAATTAATTATATAATATCTGTCCAAAGTTAATTTGTGAACATTTAACTTAAGATTTTTACTTCCATAGACATACCTTTCACTGATCTGTAGTTTTTGTTGTTCTGTAGTGCAAATTATGTGGGGTTCATAAAATGAGATTGGAAATTTTCTTTTTTTGTTTTTTTTTGTTGTTGTTGTTTGTTTTTTTTTCTGGTACTAGGAATCGAACTCACGACCTTGCGCTTGCCAGGCAGGCACTGTGCTGCTGAGCTAAATCCCCAGCCCCGAGATTGGAAATTTTCCATATTTTTTTTCTTCAGAAAATTCCAGAATGTAGAATTATTCTTTATAAATTTTTAGTTAAGGACTGTTGACTCTTCTTGAGTAAGTTTTAGAAATTTATATTTTCTAAAAAAGCATCCATATTCTTTTGCAACTATTACTGTTTATATTATCTTTATTATTATATTTATTATTAATTAATGTTATATTAGGTGTATTTTTTAGATTTGTTTGTAGTTTGTTAATTTTATTAGTTTTTTAAAGATCTGTGATATATTTTGAATCTTTCCATATTTATAAATAAAAATGTCTGCTGTTATTCTGCATTTACTCAGTCTCATAATCCATCCATACCATGTATCGAATTTTTAATAATTATTCTAACAGTGCAAAAGGACTGAACAGCTGTCAGTCAAGTACAATTCATATATTTTCAAAGGGGCTGTAGCTGCTGTTAACTTATTCAAGTGTGGTAGACTATAGGAAACCAAACTGTAGTGTTAAGCAAATTGATTGACAACTAGATATCACTATCAGTTAGATTAATGCAAGGATCTCTGGATAATTTACAAATAGAAATAATCTAGTACTTTAGGCATTTGTTTTGATATCTTGTTGATTATAACTACGCACAACAGTACAAAAAACTAGTAAATGTATATGGTTTTTATAGTCTTATTTATCCTCTGATCCAGTGTTTATGAGCAATGAAACAGTCTTAATATAATAAATGTATATGGTTTTATAGTCTTATTTATTCTCTGATCCTGTGTTTATGAGCAATGAAATAGTCTTAATGTATCTACCAGAAAAGGGAAAAAAAGGCTAGGACAATGAAGTGGCCTACATAATTTAAACTGTACAACTGTATGGTTACCTCATAAGGGTGATTCTTAATTACCGTCTAGCTAGAAATAAGGCAACTGTCTGCTTAGCTCACTTTTCTATACAGTGCAAAATAACAATCCCCATGACAAGGCAGGCAAGGCAACCAGCAAATGAAGATGGCACTAGAATTTCCATTCCTACTTATTTTCCACCTTATTTTTAAAAATGTCTTGTTTATGTGTATATCTTATATTAGCATAATCATGTATATAAATAATTTATACGTAAATAGCTATATATATGTAAGTGATGTGTACTAAAAAGTATTTTACTGAAAAAATGTGTACATTAAAAGCTTTCAAGACCTCTGGTATAGGCAGTAGAAAGAGCTCTGAATGGGAACTGGAGACGCGTTGAGACTTGCTTTACCTACTTATTAGTCATGTAAATTTGGTCAACTCTGTTTCATAATCTGTAAAATAGGACTGAAAATATCTGCTCTGCCTTCCTCAAAGAGTTATATTCAGGAAAAACTGAAACAACTGTTTGTAATTGTTCATAAATTTTGTAAGTACTGTGCAAATTGCAGCATTATTGTTTTTCCACTTTTCTTCACACATTTAATGCACCATGAAATCGTCATAGAATACCATATCCTAAACACTCAAAAGGCATTTACCTTTAGGATCAAAAGGAACAAATGTTTAGGATTTGACAGTTCTGATATACTAAAAAAGGTATGTTTCTTCCCAACCTCCTAGAAAGTGTTGATGACCAGATATTTTAAACAAAGCAAATTGGGAATCTAACGAAGAAGTAGAACGGCTGGAGATATTGCTCAGTGGTAGAGCTCTTTGCTAAGATGTGTGAGGCCTTGGATTCAATCCCCAGTACCATGACACTACCACTAACAAAATGGAAGTAGGCTATGAGTACATCTAAGATGTATATCTGTTACTCAGGGAAAAAGGAATTTTTTTTTTTTTTTTAGTACCAGGAATCAAACTCAAGGCCTTGTGCTTGCCAGGCAGGCACTTGCACCACTGAGCTATATCTCTGGCACCAGAAAAGAAATTTTTAAAAGATAGGATAAAATAAAGGCTTTGGAAATAAGAAACTGATAAAAATCTATATATTTTGTGACCTACAGAGCCATTATTTTGATAACGAGTTAGTTTTCTTACAAATGTCATAAGTGTTCTGTTGGCATGTACTTTTCCTGGAGTGAATACGCTGAGATCATTAGAAATAAATTTACTGCTTATTTCTTCTAATAGTATTATATTTTCAGGAGTTAATGGCACTTAAAAATGCCATCATTTTTTGTGTGTGTGCCAGGAATCGAACTCACAACCTCACGTTTGCCAGGCAGGTGCTGTGCCACTGAGCTATATCCCTGGCCCTAAAGATGCCATCATGTCAGAAGAGTTGGAATTTATTTTCCTTTATGTTTGGAAATTCTTAGGAATTTCTTCTTTTCTCTCATTTTTCTCAATTATAGGTTGAAGCTCCATTCATACCAAAGTTCAGAGGCTCTGGAGATACCAGCAACTTTGATGACTATGAAGAAGAAGATATTCGTGTCTCTATAACAGAAAAATGTTCAAAAGAGTTCAGTGATTTTTAGAGAGATGGCAGCCGAGCTCACACTCAGTCTTTGCACTCTTGAGATACAAGGTGGAGCCGAGACCGTCCTTGTTGAAGCAGTTACCTAGTTCCTTCATTCCAGCAGCTGAGTGAGGTCTTTATCGCCATCGTCGTGTGTGCACTCTGCATCCACCTCTGCACCAAGGCACCGCTAAGCAAGCATCGTCTGTGCCATGACGCAGTAGAGACCACGTTCCTACTTTTGGGTCACCTTTCTCCCCATTCCTACATCCATTTCTTCCTTTTCATTGGTTTTCCTCTCTACAGTGCTCCATTTTATTTTGTTGGTGTTTTATATGGGCAGTGTTAAACGGCTATGTGATATTTGAGAGGCAGGGTAAATGTTGCTTTTAGTAGTTTTCGCCAGTATTTTTGTTGGCCAGTGGCTTGAAGATAAACTTTCTAACAATGATTGCCACTTTGAGCAGCTCAGACTCAGTTTTGCCAAAAACCCTTGACAATTTTTGAAGATAGAATATGTTATCTCCAAGGAAATTAACAGAAATTAGGACAGTACCCTTCTTGGAATTCACCATTCTGGCAATAAATGCAGAGTAGCTAGACCCAGCAATTTGGATTCCTATAGACCAAAAATTCTATTTTCCTTCGTCTGTTTTTATATCATCCTTCCCTCGAGTAGCTGAGTGACCAGCCTGTACGGTGTGACTCATGCGTCTCCTTCCACAAAATCTAATGAAACAGATCATCCAGCCTTTCTCTCTTGGAACCAGCATTTCTGTAGGTATTAGCAAGGAGTTCTAAGATCTCTAAACCTTAATTCTTCCATGAGGGTATTAGCTGGTATTTTAATAGAACAAGCTTATTAAAAGTGATAATTTTTTTTAAAGTGACAAATTTTAAAGTTTCTCATATAATCCTCATTATAAACTTTTTAAAGGAAGAGGAGAAAACAAAAATGATCATTGATTTGGATGGATACTTTGCTAAGTCAAACAAATGGCTGGATTCTTGCAAATAACATAGAGGTACTCTTATTTAAGTGAGGCTTTTTTGTTTGTCTTGTAACAGTTAAGAACAAAGGAAGTTGCATGGTCTTCTTATTCTGGTGTACTATATTTATAAACCTAGGGGAGGGGCACTGTTGCAACTTCTAGTTTCTTCCCGTGCCTCAGCAGTGAGGAAAAGGGACAAAGTTTATAAAACTGCCACATTTGTATTTTAATTTTGAGGTGTGATATTTTTAGATATGTCATAATTTCTAATCTCTTTTCTCTCAGTAAACAGAATGTATGATCATGCAGATACAATTTTAGTATTTGAGTTTAGTTATTTTTTTATACTTTTTTTGCCAACTGACTTAATAACATTGCTGTCACATGGAAATTTCAAGCACTTTTGCACATTTAGTTCAGTGTTTGTTGAGAATCCATAGCTTAACTCAGTTTTTCTTACTTTTTTTGATTTTTGCTTTTAATTTTCCCCATCTGGTTTTCTCTTTGTGTCTCAGTGACCTACCTTGAAACAACACACCAAAATAGTTTTAAATAAGCTGCATTCATTTTTATGCTCAATTTACATGCATAGATGATGAATTTTTTTAATCAAACTGATCTTAATGTATTGTTACCATTCTACTTGCTTTCTTTCTGGTGCAGTAGGTCACTGACACTACTTCTTTGTGTTCATCTCACTCCCTTCTAAAACCTTTGAAGACATTGGAAACTCCTGTCTCAGATGCTCTCGCCACCAGTCAGTATGTCTTTTGGTTGTCCAGTGTTTCTGCATGGTGATGTCATATGAAGCTTGATCCTGATTTCATTTGGTCCCCCTCTATTTAAAATGTGCAAGAGAAATTTGAAATACTTAAACAGCAAGTTGTATGTAACAAAGATTTCTCATCTTGTTGATAAGTTTAAAATATCATTTGTATAAAACATTTTAATTTTTTGTATTTCATTTAAACCCAAGAATATGCTGATCACTGTATTCTATATGTATGCTACAAAATCTATGTATGGTAGCTTTGTTGTATATTACTGTAAAATTATTTCAGTAAATCATGGGGATGACAGTGTGATTATTACAATGTAGTTTTCAGTAACTGAAAAGATTTCTATGAATTATAAAAATATTTTTTTCTATGAGATTACTAGTGCCCAACTATAGACTCTACCCAGGTAGAAACCCGTAGGCATACATTGGCTTTTGAGGGCTATTCAGCCATTCCATTTCACTCTCTATTTTAAGACATGAACAAGCTGTCAAATATGTCTATGAATTCTATTTCTGACCAATTAAATACAATTAAATAGGATATTTTTAAGGTATATTAAGTTGTTTCACACTGTAGCCAAAAACAAGGTAAAAACTTGAATAAGAAGTGGCAAAACAGTATTTAACTTCAAATTACATTGTCTGAAACAGAAGAAATTGTTTTTGCCTAGCAAATAATTAAAAGATGGCATTGTGTAGAGAGGAGCCCCAGACTGAAAGTTAGGACATCTGGATTTCAGGCCAAGAACTGTCAATATGATCTTGACCTTGGTTCTCTTATCTGTAGGATAGAAAAGTTGAAGTGGGTGTTTTCTGAGGTCCCCTTCTAACTTGACCATGTTATGACAAGACTGTCTTTTTATCTGATATTTTGAAGGGATATAATGCTTTGAAGTCTCAGTAAGGTGATATATTTTGGGGCATCTTTCTTCTCATTTCTGACAGTGTTGTACAGTTCTTTGACTTTCATGAGAACCTTGTGTCTGACTTGATTCCTTACGCATTTGCTCATGCTAAATACACGGTTGATATCAAACTGCCGACCTACCAAAAACAATACTGTGGCTTATGGAGATTGCCGTCTTGTTCTTGGTATGTTTTTGTACTGACTGGCCATTGGCCTGATAATACTCATTGTAAGCCTGAAAAAAATCATTTTTCTTTCCCACTGACTGTTTTTTTCTGCTTGTTGTAAAACTCAAATGAAATAATGTATGTGAAAGCACCTTGTAAACTGTAAGCTATCAATGTAAAGTGTAAAGGTGTGTTGTTATTTCATTAATTACTTCTTTATTTAGAGTGAAATTTCCTATGCACTATTATAGCTAGGAAATGCTGAAAACAAGTTGTGTTTTTTAATTAATCCATAACTGCAAAATTAAAGTATCTTCAAAGGATAAGACTGCTGGGTCTTGATTTTTGTTTGATACCCTGTTTCCTGATCATCATTTTCTCCTGAGAGTGTAGATCAGAGATGGCAAATCTTTTAGAGCTTTTAATGACACAAACAGCCCGCTGTGGCATGTGTGCTCTAGGTTCACCACCACTGGTATAGATGCCTACAGATTCTTAACTTTCATGCGTTTAGACTGATACTTTGGTCATGGGAGCAGAACAATAGGAGGAAGAATGTCCACCAGTCTTCTCCTACACAGTCTTTACTAAGAAACTGCTGGATTTATTCTGGAGTTTTAAAAAAGTGTTTCTACTTCCTCAGTTGTCATATTGGTCCAAATTACTCCTAGTACAGTGTTACACAGCCATATTTACAAGGTTGATACTGCAAGAGCACTCATCCTCATGTTGTAACAAAGAGATATGAATTTATTCTTTCTTCATCAATAACGCGGTAGAGCTTCACACTGCCTTTGCCAGTTTAATCATATTGATCAGTGTGCATTTCTATAGTTGTCCTTCACCTCAAGAAATAACCTTTTAGATAATTATTTTATATGTTTTTTTTATTTTTTGGTACTGGGAATCGAACTCAGGACCTCGCACTTGCCAGGCAGACACTGTGCCGCTGAGCTACATCCCTGGCCCTAGACAATTATTATAATAGCTTACCATTTTGTTTGATTGTTTTTGCAAACATTTATAAATGTTGATGGATTCTATAACACAGTGTTTACTATTTTTATACCAACATGTGCTTTATTTCATTATTATCATTAATATCAATTCCTAACATATTAATATGTTTTCTCATATCCTTATAGAACTAATTAGAAAAATCTGTTTTTAGTACAGAACTGTCATCATTTGAAACTCAGTTAACTTTAAATTTTCTCCTATGCAAAAATATTGGAAATGAAATTAAATATTTATTTTCATTTCAGCTTTTCTGAAGATTCCTGTATGTTTATAGCCTTTGTGCCCATTGTTAAAGATGGAGTTGTAGATTTTGTTATGAACAGAATTCAGATGGTGAAATCCTAATCCCCAGTGCCTCCTAATGTGATTATACTTGGAGATAAGGCCTTTCCATACATAATTAATGTAAAGGTCATACGGGTGGGCCCTAATCCAATGAGTATTGTCCCTATAAGAAGAGATTATGACAGAAAGAGTACGCAGACAGAAGAAAGACCAGATGATGACAGACAGACAAGATGACCCTCTACATGCCAAGGACAGAGGCCTCAGAAGAAGCCATCTCTGCTAACGTCTTGATCTTGGATTTCCAGCCTCCAGAACTGTGAGAAAAGTACATTCTGCTGTTTGAAGCTTAAACTTTAAACCACTAAGTCTTACACTACTACACCCACTGAAATATGTAGTCCCATGATGGGAAGATTTTTACTGATCTCCTTCAAATGCTTTTTTGGTTTTTTGTTTGTTTGTTTGTTTTGGTACCAGGAATTGAGCTCAGGACCTTGTGTTTGCCTGGCAGGCACTGTGCCACTAAGCTATCTCCCTGGCCCCTTGAAATGGTTTTTATTTGGCCAAAACTGAACTAGTTTGCCATAGGCAAAAAAAAAAGTTTAAAAAAGGAAAGGAAAAAAAGAAAAAGTGTCAGCGTGGTTACGCATCTCATTGCATCTACTGTCTTGTTTCTACTTTCTCCTGGAGTCCAAGCAGAAGATCGTGAATAGTAGCTTCTGAGATACTGAGAGTTGGGAAAAGCATGAGTGGCTCAAACTACTAGTTTACCCTTGGGCCTCAAGCCATCAGTGTAGTGATAATACAACGTAGACTCACACCACATTCACTGAGTTTACAATCCCTGCCCACCTGTTAATGCTAACAATGAAATAACTGGAAGGCGAGTGGGGATGGGAATAAAGGGTGGACAAGGAATCCTATAAAATCATCATTTCCTGATTTTTGAGAGGTTAGTAATGTTCACAGTAACTGTTCAATTTAGTGTGTTGTTACTGCTGCTCTAACAAATCTCTATAAGCTAAATTATTTAAACCAACACAGCTTTATTACTTTACAGCTCTGGAGGTCGAACATTCACAATGAGTCTCCTTGGGTTAAAGCTGGCATGTCAGCGGGGCTGTATTCCTTTCTGAAAACGAGTGAAGAACCTATTTCCTGGCTTTTTCCAGCTTCTAGATGCCACCTAACTTCCCTTGACTTCTGACACTGTTCTTCTGTCTTCCAATGGTATTAGGCGAGATCCTTACCATGTTACATCGCATATGCAGCCAATTTCTTCTATTAATACATCTCCTCTATTGAAATCCCTAAAATTGTTTCTCTTTTCCCTACTGGAGACTGGTTGATGTTCCCATTATCATCTTCCCTATTTGTTGTGTTGTACTAAATGATCCTAGACATTACTGTATAAAAAGAAACTACAATGGTGAAAGGAAGGTCATTCCAGACAAAACAAAGAATTTACTACCAACAGATTCTCATGGAATTGTCATATCAAAAGAAAAAAAAAATAGTCCCAGAAAAAAGAAAGTACATCTGGGAAATTCAAAAGCAAAGGGAAAAAAAAGATTTAAAAAAACCCAGATATGTTTATATAGAACAAGAAATGAGCTAAATACAGAGTAACTTCTAAAATTTAAAATTCTGGACAGGCTGATGCATGAGAGACAATGATCCCTCCTTTCTCTTTTTGCTGGCTTTCTCTAAACACAGTAATGACAGGACATGTTTTAAATATCTTTAAGGACATGAGTTGCACTGGAAACAGGAGAAACATCTCCCTAGACCAGACAGAATGGATATAGATAGATGGAAGCTAAACCACAGGCTCAGCAGCATACAGGAAAGACCGATGACCATGAGATCATAGCAGTGAATGCAGAAGCAAAAGATGAAAGAAAACTGGAACAAAGGTGTCCTACTGTTGACATCCCCAAATTAAGAAACTAATGAAGGAAATAGGAAAAGAATTCAAATGTATCCTATAGAAACTGTTCCCCAAAATGAAGGAATAACTGAATTTACATATTGAAAGAGTACACTTACGTTTCAGGAATAAACAGAACTTTCAACAGCAGGCCACATCCTGATAAAAGTTTTGAATTTCAATACTTAAAAATTTATGTGTAAAAGTTAGGCCACCTCTCAAGGCAAAGGGAATGGGGGGGAGATTCTGGCTGGTCTCAGATGTCTTCACAAAAATATTCAGTGCCAACATATAATTAAACAATGGCTATTACGTTCTAGAGAAAACAGAACACAAGCCCAGAGTATCATACCTAGCCAAGTAGCACTTAATATAAAGGCAACAGACAGATGCCTTTAAATAACAACAACAGAAAGTAGAAAGCCATGGACTCTTCTTATACAACTGGATATGAATCGGAATGAGTAACTTAGAATGCAGAAGCGGTGACACAAAGCTCATAATATACACTAATTGTGTTTAAATGAAGTAGTAACTATAAGCAAGCGTGGTAATCGCAATTACAGAACCAAATGTAAATGTTTTAAACTTTGGCAAACTTAGAATAAAATATAACAAATTGACTTGTGAGAAAGAAGGAAGTAAGAGAAGATAGTAGACTTCTAACTTCCTTACAGCAGGAAATCCACTAAGAAGAGACTAAAATTAGTGCATGTGGTTAAAATACTGACTAACCTCTCAGAAAAGATTTTGTAAATTTTATGGGAGGAGCCCTTATCAACAGTTTTCATTTTCACTTTAACCTTTTCTTTTTCATGTGTTAAATGCAATTACATTTATTTTCATTTCAGATTCTTCTGGGCAATTGGATTTTTTATAGTATAAGTAAAATTAAATTGAACACTTTCTACTAAAAGGTATGATACAGATTTTATAAAATTGGTACTGTCTGCTTCTCTCTCCCTCCCTCTCCCACTCCCTTTCCCCTCCCCCTTCTCTTCTTGTCCCTGTGCACAGAGAAGATGGCTATGTTACTGATGCTATGAATTTGCTCATATTCCTTATAGTTTTTGCCATAAGGAGGCAGACTTTGAATCTTCCTTTTATATTTTTTGGAACTGATAGTACTTAAGACCCTCTTAGCCAGGCATGGTGGCACATCCAAGCACTGTGAGAGGCTGAGGCAGGAGAATCACAAGTTCCAACCCAGCCTGGGCAACCGAGTAACTGAGCAAGACCCTGTCTCAAAATAAAAGGGCTGGGTAGTAGCTCAGGGAAAGGCTCAGGGTTCAAGCCCCAGTATCAGCACCACCACCCCAAAAAAGAAGAAAATACCTCTTACTAGGCAGTGACAGACCATAATGCAACATGGAGTTAGCGAGAAAAGGAAAGAAGTTGACTCTCACTACCAGGAAGTCTGAGGAGACTTCTGTCAAAATAAGATCGAAATGGGCAAACTATATCATGAGACTCTGCTCTCTGTGTCCTTCTCTGGGCTCTGCGTCCCTTCTCCAGACGTCAGCCTTGAGATCCAGTCTCCATGGAGCAGAAAATGAAACCACCAGCCACTTACAAAACAGCTGATGGTCCCGGACAAGGAGGAAGAGGTCTTCCCTGCATTGTACGAACCCCTGAAAGGAACTGAAAGTGGTCCAGCCTGGGTCAGAATCTACTTCTGTAGCTGAGCAAGGGAAGAGAAGTGATTGGCAGACTCAGCAGAAGTGTGTGAATGAGCAAGCTCTCCCCATCAGATGTCCAACCAGACAGGAAAACAGCCGACACTCACGGACCTACTCCGCACCAAAATACTACTACTAATAGTGATTTTGTACAGAAAATAATTACTTTATATCATTTTGGAGACAATATGGTTTTGTCATATATGTTGGCACTGAATATTATTGTGAAGACATCTGAGACCAGCCAGAATCTCTCCCCATTCCTTTTGCCTTGGGAGGTGGCCTAACTTTTATACATAAATTTTTGATTATTGAAATTCAAAACCTTTATCAGGATATGGCCTGGTGTTGAAAGTTCTATGTTAATTTTTCCTGAAACATAAGTGTGCTCTTTCAATATGTACATTCA